GAACAGAAGAAGACATTTATGTTAGCATTTGTTTGTTTTTTTTTTATATATATATATATATTATTTATTTAATACGAACTGCATAATTACTTAATCATATTGAAATGTGCAAAATTGAAAACGAAACAATTTGTTATTTGAAAAGATCTATGATAAAATCTAACCTAGAAATGTGGTGGCACAAAACTTTGAACAATTTTCTTTTATATTAAAATTATGTATAATAAGAAAAACCTGTATAATTAAAAACAAAATCATATTGAATATATGATTCTAAAAAAAAAATTATATTTAACATACTGAAAAACTATTTCTACAAATTCTGTTCAAATATTGTCAAATTTTCTGTATAAATACATAGATAAACAAGTACAAATTTAATATGATTTTGTAACGTAAAATCAAATTCATTTCTGTTTCTATATAATACGCCATATATATATATATATATATATATATATATTGTAGTTTACTTGAAAAAAAAAAAGAAATTATGAATTGCATAAGAAGTTGTATAAAAAGTTGTTGTTAATGTACATATAAAAATGTAATTGATTAAACATCACTAAACCTGGTAAGATTCGTTTGTAGTTATTAATGGCAGCCACTGTACACGACTATATACGAACTATGTAAAAAAAAAAAAAAACATTAAAAAAAATTACAGAAACGCTTTGTCCCAGTACTGTATGGCTACAGAGAGCGCCCTTAGGTTAGTCATGTGGATATTACTGCGACGATATCTATGGCGTGGGTTGCTTTGTTCCTCCTCGTCGCCCGGCCTATCTTTACCCTCACAGTATAAGCCCTCACCAATGGCGTAACACTTCACTGTTAAAACTGTTAAAACACCTCTCTTTTCATCTTTCTCTTTTTTTTTTTTTTTATTTTATAAACGTTTAACTTACACGCAGTTTCTTCCTAATTCAAATTACGATATTTCGTTTGTTTTATATTTCATATATTTTTGACATATTATTTAATATTGTTTATGTGAATATTTTTATTATATTATTTCAATGTAAAAATTGTGTAAATATTTATTAATTAAAATAATATTAATATATAGATAATTTAACCAATATATACAAATTATTTTAATTTATTATTAATAAAATATTTTTATTTGTAAGTCACTTTACACGTGACTTATAACCCATAAGGATTAAATTGAAATAATAGTTTTTTTTTTTTTTAATATAAAATTTTCCTTATTTCACAAATTCTTTTCCCCCACTCTTTATACCTGATATAAAGTTACCTGATATAATTTTCTTATGGTAATCTTGTTTCTTCTTTATTTTTTTTTTTTATAAATTACTTTAATGATTTTATATAAATATATATATATGTATATATAGGTTGTTAGCTATTTTTTTTATATAATTTTCTATGTAAAAATTTAAACGTATTGCTACGTCACTGACTGACTCTTGTGTATACCCGCTTGCTGTTTCCCCTGCCTGCCATTGTGCGAACACGCATGGCAGGAGACCATAAAAGGGTTATTGTTTCGACGGATGGTGATACCTGTGCGAAGAAGTCGCCTTGTTTTACGTTGCTTCAACTAACCTCGTGTATTTATCGTAAAGATCCTTTTGGTTCCATCATTTCATAATGTTACTCCATCATTCATGATTATTTTTTTTTTATTTATTATTTTTTTAAATATAACAAATATTATTTTATATTAATTTTTGTATTTCATAATAATGTGTTTTCTATTATTGCACAAATATTATTATATATTACAATAAAATATAAAATAAATAAATATACATATATATATATATAATATAATTTTATATTTATTTTAATTTATTAATTATATAATATTAATAGTAATTAAATTTATTATTTGTTATTTTACATTAATATTAACAAACACGTATTGGGATCTCTAGCACTTGAATACGCTATCTGATGGCTAAATTCAAAATTAGAGTAGATAGGTTGAATTTTGTTACGCCACGTGGTGGGATCTCTAGCACTTGAATACGCTATCTGGTGGCTAAATTCAAAATTAGTGTAGGTAGGTCAAATTGTCACGCCACGTGGGATCTCTAACACTTGAATACGCAGTCTGGTGACTAAATTCAAAATTATAGTAGATAGATCGAATTTTTACGCCACGTGGGATCTCTAACACTTGAATACGCWATCTGGTGGCTAAATTCAAAATTAGAGTAGATAGGTCGAATTGCTACGCCACGCCCCTGCCAGAGATCCCAATAAGTAAATAAAATGACCCAAAAAAAATGAAAATTACAATAACAACGACAAAAGTTCATATTGCATCGTATAACTGGAGGCTACATTTTTATAAAGAAAATTTGAGAATGATAATTAATCAACGTTCTCAATGAAATTTTATTTCTTTTTGTCTTTTTTTTTGTTTTTCTTTTTTATGGTACATGGTCGAAGACACGAACACGCCTCTCTCTCTCTACGTTTCTTCCACACCAACCCATTGGGAATATCTGTTACCCTTGCCCAACCCTCTCGTTCCTGTAGCGTTAAAGAATTACGAGCCTTCGAACTGATTATTAAGTCCCATTGATTTAAAGCGATGCTTTAAATACCCCCAGTACATCAAATGAATTTTACTCAGACTATGAAACGAGAGAGAGAGAGAGAGAGAGAGAGAGAGAGAGAGAGAGAGAAAGAGAGAAAGAGAGAAAGAGAATCATCCTTGGTGGGTGGCAGGTTTTTTTATTCCCTTTGAAACATCCTTTTTGCATACCTTTCAATTAATTAAATATACATGGGGTATTCCCCATTTAATTCTCCATAAACATCCATGCAAGTTATCATCATCCATTCAAATATTTTATTTTATTTTTTTATTTTATTATCACAATGTTAATTTTTATATCATATTCAATAAATTAAAGATTGTCATTATTTTTTATTTATTTATTAATAATTAAATCATCCAAATTAATTATCCAATTAAGAATTTAATTTAATTTCTAATGGTGGTGATAKAACAAACCATGAATAAAAAAAAACAAGATAAGAAACTAACAAGAAGAAACATCATATTATAATAAATGAAGTTATTGTGTCGTACAAATTATAAAACAAACAAACAAACAAACATATGCATTACGATATATGAATATTGTATGTTCATCATAATCCATGTACAGGGTGATTCATCAACACTTGCCACCAAAATAACTTCGCAAGTTTAAAAAGTGGCTAATGAAAATGTTGCATGAATAATTCAGGACTACAATATGACATTAGTATTATTTTCCTAGGTTCAGTCATTTTCGAGATGTATTGCTCAACTCTTTGTTTGTTTTTTTTCAATACAATGTTATATTTGAATACTAATTTTCGGATAGCGGTTGACATGACGAATCCAACGATGTGCAACATTAAATACAAAAACCTGACAATGACCAATATAAAACTATTCGGAAAATATCTGTTCCGTCCGTAGTCGGAACAACTAAAGTATGACGCAACCCTGATACAACCCTGACGCGACCATGACGCGACCATGGACCAAGGAAGAGCTGTATTGTGGTCGACTTGTTCGCCAGTTTTTACCTTCGTTGGTCTTCAAAAATATTCATGTTGCATATCATTGGATTTGTCTTGTCAACCGGTATCCGAAAATGAGTATTCAAATATAAAATAAATCTTGAAAATGACTGAACCTAGTAGACAAATACTTATGTAATATTGTCACCCTGAATATTTCATGCAACATTTTCATTAGCTACTTTTTAAACTTGTGAAGCTATTTAGGTGACAAGAGCTGGTGAATCACCCTGTATATATAACGAAAGGAGTAAGGAAGGAAGGAAGGAAGGAAGGAAGGAAAGAAGGAAGGCAAGCAAGGCAGCCAGGCATCCCTTCTTGGGCTGCCAATTTGCATGACCGATGATCGGTCACCACTATAAGCGATTCGCTAGAGTGCATCATTATTATGCACTCTTGAGATACCGATCAAACTGTCAGTAATAACAGTCGCACGAGCTGTGCGCGGTACGCTAAGGCAGCCCTCGTGTTTATTAAATTACGTCAAATTATTGGTACTCTCTTCAAAAAGGGCTTTTTGCATTATATACGAAGATAGAAGAAATATATCCTAGATAGTAGTCCTTTCACGTTATATCGTTCACCACATTTTCCTTTTTTTTTTTTTTTTTTCAAGATATTACACGAGAATCGAAAGGATATTGATCGTTGATGTTTTTTTCTTTTTTTTTTTTTTAAATAAAAAAATAAAATAAGTAAAAGGATCTGAAGAAAAATTGAACTAAATATATATCCCCCCCTTTTTATTATTATTACTATTATTATTATATATAATAATACTCACATTTTGTATAGAGGGTGTATCTTTATATGTAAAATCAAATTTAGTAGGAAATAAAAGGTATATATTAAAATTATAATAAAATATATTAATATATAAAATAATATAATAAGTAAATATAATATATAATATTCCCTTTAATTTATATTTCTAAAAAATATTTTTTATCTTTTGTAGATATATATATATATATAACAGAGATAATCATGACTCTTTGTTAATAAACAAATAATTGGCAATAAAATAATATTGCCATTATAAATTGAGATATAAACTATCCTATCTTTCAAGTTGAATGAAACTGCACACAGTGTGGAAAATTTTATCAAAATCGGTTCAGTAGTTTAGGAGTCCATTGCGAACAAACAACGTGACACGTAATTTATATATATTAAGAAGAGAAGATATATATATATATATATACATAAATAATTCAAATTCAAAATTAGAGTAGATAGGTCGAATTGCTATGCCACGTGGGATCTCTAACACTTGAATACGCTATCTGGTGGCTAAATTCAAAATTAGAGTAGATAGGTCGAATTGCTACGCCACGCCCCTGCCAGAGATCCCTGCCAGAGATGTATATATATATATATATATATATATTATATTAAATGGATATTTTTGAATTGTAAATATTAACTTTTGTTTTTATTTTTAGATCGACAGACGAAGGGCTAAAGAAGGCAAAAAATGAGCGGACCAAGAAACAAATCAAAAGGACACTCTTCTTTAGTTTTCGACTAATCAACATTTCTAAAATCAGAGAGAGAGAGAGAGAGAGAGAAGGAGAGAAAAATTGAGAAAATAATTGTACAAAAAAAATCAATTTTTGTACTATTTTTTAACTAATGCCCGTGAAAGTCGGCCATATCGTTTCTATTCGATCATTGAATTTCAACATAATGAATRCAATCCTTAAATAGAAAGAAAGAAAGTTAAAAAAAAAAAGAAAGAAATAAAGATAAATAGATGTAGAATATAAAAGAGAATAGAACAAAGTAAAAAAAGAAAAAAGAGAGATATATAATAGAAAAAAAATTTCCAAAAATTACTGTGTAATTTCACTCAAAGTTAATTATTGAAACTTCAAAATAAAATGATGAAATATTGTTTGAAAAAAAAAAAAAATTGAATTAAAAAAAAAAAGTAAAAGAAAGTTATAACAAAACACACACACACACATTTCTTTATAAACATTTACATTTGAAATAAAACAATAATCAAATAATTGAATTTCAATAAATAAATAAACATTATCGTTTCAAATTACAAACTACAAAACTGTAAAGAAAAATTCTAAAATACGATTAAACCAAATTGAATTCTATCGAATAATGTGTTGTTTTATATTACGAGAAAAAAGATAGTCATAAAAATCGTAGAAGAGAAAGAAAAAAAAGCTAAACTAATGACGAGACATTTCTCATATGAAAATAGAGTAATCAGTAAATGAGAAAGATAAGAAAAGAAACAAAAAGAGAAAGAGAGAGAGAGAGAGAGAGAGAGAAGAGATAAGGGAGAAAAGAAAAACAAAACAGAATGAAAGATAAAAAGAAAAGTAGGAAAGATAGTTAAAAGAGAAAAAGAAAAAAAAGCAAAAAAAAAACAAAAACAAGTGAGCATTTAATTAATTAATCTTATAATAGATTATAGATAATAACATGAATGCCATAATAATGACCAAGTTTTGTGGTTGTACTTAAGTCATACTTTTCTATTTCTTTTCTACCCTATTTTATTATAAAAGCGTAGATTTAAGTTGTATCATCGTACGATTATTACCTAAAAATACAATTTGTCCGTGTTATGTGAGTTATTATATCAAATTCTATATATATATATATATATAAAAGTATATATATATATATAT